GCGGTATGATGAGCGGGGGCGGGCCCAGGCCGGGCACCGTGTGGGGAGGAGTCACAGCTGCGTCTCCGACTTTCGCTCCCACTAGCCCTGCCGCGGAGGCGGAGGAGCTGGACGAGGAGCTGGACGAGGAGCGGCCCAGAGCGCCCGACTTGTCTTCGCTGCCTCTGCAGCCGCCGCCGGGGGTCTGGCGCTTCCCAAAACCTTCGGGCACTGGGCTTGGCCGTCGCCGGGAGAACATGGCGCCCTGGACGCTGTGGCGCTGCTGCCAGCGCATCGTGGGCTGGGTACCTGTGCTCTTCATCACCTTCGTGGTCGTCTGGTCCTACTACGCGTACGTGGTGGAGCTGTGCATATGTGAGTACCCGGCGCGGGCCGCGGCTCAGGCGGAAGCCAGGCCTCTGCGCCCTGCGCCTCCCGCGCCCCGCAGCCACCGCGGGCGCTGGGGGTCCGGCCTCGGCTGCGGTGGGGAGCACCGAAGCCTCAGCACCGGTTGCTTTATCCGACCCCACAGCGCGGCCTTCGGGCGATGTCGGGGTCCCTGAGACGCGCGGTGACTTCCCAGGGTGGGCTGGGTTTGGGCCCAGCGAGACCCTGAGAGTTTCCTGGTTTCTGCGGTCACCAGACGCCTCCTCATCCTTTGGTGAAGGAATGTTCAGAAAAGGGGTTTTCTTCGAACGGGAGTGGTCGATTTTCATACAAGGTTTTGGTGTATGTGTTTTAGGCCTTCTTTGCTTTTGTTAATTTTTTTAAAAAGCAAACTATTCCTTTTAGATTTTGTCCAAACAGCGCGAGAAGAGACAGACGCCTGTTACCTGCAGAGCGCGCTGCCGGGGTGGGGGAAGGGAGGTGTGTCTTCTGGAGGCCTCAGGGAGGAGGCGGGGCAGTCAGCCTGGGAGGACCCGCGAGCTCCCGCTTCTGATTTTGGGGGGTCCTGATTTTGGAGGGTATTTTAAAGTTCCTTTATTTCAAGTGTGAGTCCAGTGACTTGTACAGAATGTTGCTCTAAGACAGAAAGAGCGGGTGGGATGGTGCATCTCCTGATTATCTTTTTCTTGGCCAATTATCATGTAGGTTTATGTTTCTTACAGCTTCTGATTTGGGGATCTTGTTTTATTTTCGTTACTTCCATTTACCTGATTAGTTTTTTTGTTGTTGTTTTGAGTTTTTGTTTGTTTTTGAGAGTCTCACTCTGTTGTCCCAGCCTAGAGTACCATGGTATCAGCCTGGTTCACAGCAACCTCATACTACGGAGTTCAAGGAATCCTCCTTGCTCAGCCTCCTCAATAGCTAGGATTACAGGCATCCACCACAACGTCCTGCTAATTTTTCTGCTTTTAGTACAGATGGGGTCTCACTCTTACTGGGGCTGGTCTCTTAATCCATCCACCCTCTTGGATCTCCCAGAGTGGTAGAATTACAGACGTGAATCACAATGCCCAGCCTGCCTGATTAGTTTCTAGCATCCTATTCCCACTTGACTCCCCAGGAAAAAAAAAGGAGTAGCATTGTAGTACTCTTCAAAGAGTTAACTTTCTAGTTTGAAAAAGAAATAGCACTGTAGCTGGGCGCGGTGGTTCACACCTACTGTCCTAACATTCTGGGAGGCCAAGGCGGGTGCATTGCCTAAGCTCACAGGTTGAAGACCAACCTAAGCCAGAGCCAGACCCTCCCCACCCGCTAAAAATAGCCAGGCATTGTGGGAGGGCCTGTAGTCCCAGCTACTTGGAAGGCTAAGACAAGAGAATCTCTTAAGCCCAAGAGTTTGAGGCTGCTGTGAGCTATGACAAGACAGCACTCTACGGAGGGTAACAAACTGAGACTGTCTCCAAAAAAGGAAAGAAAGAAAGAAATAGGACTGTAGTACTCTTCAAGGTTTTAACCTTCTAGTTTAAATCTTGCTTTTAAGATTGAAAGAAATTGGTCTCGCCACCTGTAACTCAGCAGATTCGAACCCTCCCCAGGCCTGCCATACAACAATGACAACTACAACAACAACAAAATAGCCAGGTGCTATGGTGGGTCCCTGTAGGCCCAGCTACTTGGGAGGCTGAGGCAAGAGAATCACTTAAGCCCAAAAGTTTGAGGTTGCTGTGAGCTGTGATGCTATAGCACTCTACCGAGGTGACATAGTGAGACACTGTCTCAAAAAAAAAAAAAATGAAAAATTGAAGGAAATTGGTTGTCATTAATCCGAACATGGTTTGGTGGTGACTGCTGTGTTTGTGATATTGAACGATTGTTCCAAAATTGCTTCATCATAATCAGTAGTTCACAGTCTTTGAGTATGTGGCTATTTTACACTTACGTCTTCCCAGGTGGTTGTCTATACATTTGCTATTTATGTCAATTATTTATGAAAACCTAGGACCAAATGCTAAGTGGAGTTTGAAAAAGCAATTCCTTTGTATCCCAGAATGATCTAGTTGTAGTCCTCAGACTGAGTCTACCTTTATCTGAAGGACCTCTATTAATACTCTTTGAAAAAAGATTCACAGGAGCTAAATACTAATTGTATAAATAAAAAGAAGCAATACCACTCAGTCCTGAAAGTAGCAGAATCAAGACATCAGTTATGTCTCAGGGTTTATATAGCTCTCAGCCAAGTAATTTTTTTTTTTTTTTTTGGCAGGTTTTGGCCAGGGCTAGGGTTGAACCTGCCACCTCTGGCATATGGGGCTGGCGCCCTACTCCTTTGAGCTCAGATGCTGCCCCCAAGTAATTTGTTAAAACCTGAGTTTTGTACATGGAAGAGAATGCTTTGGTGCAGAAAATTTAAGGGTAGATTTATTAATTAAAATATCTACCCTTAAGAAAATTACTTTGCATTCATAGAATGTTTAATTTTGAGGAAAACTATCCCTTAGGTACTCCCAGAATATATTAGTTGTGGGATACTTTTCCAAGTAATATTAGGGTTAATCTTTTGAATATAATTGGTTAGTCTCATCCTTTTAGATACCAATGTTTGCTAAAAATGATGTTTGAGTCCATTGTAATTGATATTTCTTGAGGGTACTTTTAGAAAGTGTTAGTGATCGGCTCGGTGCCTATAGCTCAACCGGCTAAGGC